GTATATAGAAAGTAAAAGTGTGTAGGCCTACCTTTGGCAAAAGGCATGGCGTCAACAGGGTGATGTGCATTCAAATCAAACAGTACAAGGAATACGACTACCATTGCTTGCAGGCTACTGAAAAAAACCCCCAAAAACAATACAATAAACGTTATTAATACTTCGGTATTAATAACCGGTGAACTATCACGGGCGGATATCCATTGTCAGAGATCAACTAGAGGCACAGTTTAAGGTCACATGGGTTAGAGAGGAGTTACCGAAATTATGAAAGCAATGACTTATTGTGAAGATGAAAAAGAGAGGAGATAACAGAATGTGGCAACTGGAGAGGCATCACTTTAACATCCGTGCCAAGTAAAGTTTTTAGTAGAGTACTGATCGACAGAGCTGAGAGATTAAAAAGGCGTTTGACTCGGTACACCGAGAGAGCTTCTTTAAGATCATGATATGGAATTCCTGATAACATTTTGAATATTACTAAGATTCCCTACGAAGATAGTGAATATGCTGTGTTGGATGAAAGGGATTGGTTCAAAGTAAAAACCTAGGTAAGCTATGCGATGCTTTGTCCGTCGTCATCTTTCTAATTTTTATTGATGATTATGACAATTGCAACAGAAGGAACAACAGTGGGATCATGGGGAAATTCACATCAACGTTGGAAGACTTGGAATTCGCGTTGATGAATAGGCTAATGTCATCTAATATTCAACATGCAAACTAAGATTACTAAACTGAATGAATATGCTGCTAAAGCTTGTCTTAATATAAATACAAAAAGTCACAAGTAATGACACTAAACAGCAAATCAAACATTATGATAACCGTAGGAAACCAGGTGTTAAATAAAATGGATACTACTACACAAGAAAGGTTGAGGAGGAGAGGACATCAAACACAGAATCAACAAAGAAAAATTATCTTTTATGACGTTCAGACTCTTTCAGAAACAAAATTAGGATGTTCAACTCGCTGATGAAACCTTTTTTATTATATGGATGCGAGACATGAAAGATCAATGCATGTGACAATACGAGATGGACACATCCCAGTTTATGTACCTTCAAGGATTATGAAAAAAAGATGGCCATATATTGTACCTAACGACGACACTCTCACTAAAGGCAAATAAAAAGAATCTGTGTGGTAGTATAGAAAAGGAGATGGAAATGGATTGGACATGTTTTAAGGATGCCAGATAATAACGTTTGCATGACGGTGATGACGTGGGCTCTCCAGAAGAAAAAAGGAGAGTAGGACGTCTCAAGACGACATGGAGACGAACTACTGAGAAAGCGAGAGAAGTGCTAGGATGAAGAGGTTGGATGGAAGTCAACATAATAGTCAGAGACAAAGTACACTAGAAAGACGATATTGCCACCTTATGGGCCACCAGGCCCGAATAGGATAGGTAAGGTAAGGTGGGAGTAATTAAAAACTTAGGGTCTGAATTAAAAAATACAAGCTACAAGAACCTTTATTGAAATTTTATCCAGAAAGAATATTTGTTTTGATCATTAACACATTGTAAACAATTGTTTACATTTTAATTACAGTCTTTCAATAAAGTAATTCTATCATAACATAAGGCCTAATGTATTATTGTAATGATGCTCTTCATTTTTGCTGTAGCCCTTGCTATTTTATATACAAGAGATTTATATGCATTTTGAACATTTACCTAAAGGGTTACGTGAACGAAAGTTCGTGGCTATTTTTGATAAAGTTTGTTATAGTGTAAAGGAATTTTCTAGTCAGCTAAAAATCTCCTAAATGCTTACGATTTGTTGAAATTTACTTACCGTGTGCACGTCATTGTTGGTATTTTTTGAAAAGAAGGTATTTCAGTAAACCTGTGTTGTTGACTATTGTCTACAATAAGGTGTATCTAGCATTTATATAGTGTTTCAAACAATACCGGACGTTTGTATTTATCGCGTAGGGATGTTAGATTTTCATTTTGAAGCAATTAGCAGCATGCTTCATCCTTACTCTAATCACTGTTGTCATTTAGAATTATTTGCCAAACTCTAATGTTAAATCGTAGTCAAGTTATTTTCTTTATAATTTACTGTTGTTCTTTTTTTTTCTCTTTTGGATGCACCATCATTTTGAATGTGTGTTACTTTAATAAAGTAAATCAAAATAATAATATAAAACTAGATGAAATAACATGATTTTCCTTCCAGTAATAAATAGAAGTGCAATAAAAGAAAACGATTACATTATATAATACATGATAATAATGATATTTGCACATTACATACAAAAAATATGTAGTCCTTATTAAATATAACATGTTAACAATACACAGGGTACAATATGCGATGTATTCTTGATTTAATTAAACCTTCAGAGATTCCAGGGTAATAAACATATTGATTGTCTTTTGAATTAGGCTTACAAGTGATTATGTGACAGGTGGTATATTTACTTTTATTATGCATATTTTTGGTTAATTAATAGTACGTATTCCTCCATGGAAAGGTCTACCAGCAGGTGATAAAGGATACTTATTAGAGCAATAAGAATCAGGTTCAAAAGTCCTCAAGTCTTACTACACAATAAAAAAAAAACAACATGTATCTGAAATTCAATATGAGCTCACCTTTTGTTGCCTTGTGTGGTATAACAGACATACAAATAAAAATGTAAAAAATTGTATAGTGTTACCGAGAAAGCTAGTAAAATAATGTGTACAAAACTTAACATACTATGTGACAAATCTATAATTAACAAATTTGAAATCATACTATTAGACAAAACATCCACTTTACAACATATCCGGAA